TGTATAGATTACCAGCAAAGCGGGGCTAGTGTTGCCTCCAGAAACGCGCCGCACCCGCCACATGACCTTTGAGGCACCGGGCATCTTGGGGAATAATTCTTCACACCCCCGTGGGATCCCCGAAACATTTGGGGACGGGGCGAGGAGCGAGGGCCTAGGCTGACCAATATTGTGATCACGTTCCAAACTTCAAGGGCGCAGACGAGGTGGCATACAGAGGGACTGTTACGCGTAACATTTTTTTTTTTTAATGCATTGCTTTAAGTGTTTTTGGAGCCGTTAGGCTATCAAACACTGCACTATATGTTCCAGCACCGGTAAAACCCCTCTGGCTGTGTCAGGGGAAAGGTAGCTGTTGGCTGTTTCAACTATGGTACATGTATGGGAGGGAAACACGGAGAAAGGCGATGAAGTATGGGCAACACCCCCGTCGCTGCGCTCCGCTCCGCTATAATCGCCAAAATTGCAAGCGGAGCGATTTGACGCTATGATAAAGCGCCCAATCGCTCCGCTAACTTTTAGGAGTCGCTATGGGATCTCAGAGCGGTGCGCAAGATCCAAGCGCTCCGCTCCGCTATGTGCGATTTTGACAGGACATAGCGCTTAAAAGCGCGTTTTGAGACTTTTTAACAAAAGAGAAAAGAGATACAAACTCAAGAAGCCAAAAATCGAAATTTGAATGAATCACTATCAACAGATGAAATTGCATATCTATAAAGCTAAGAACTAATGAAGAAAGCCAAGAGAATAGTAGAGCATAAAAACAAATGATGTCAATAGTCAGTAAAAGATCAAAAGAAGAGAGAATGGAAAGAATAGAAAACTTTCATTCAGAAATCGAAGTTGAATCATTAGAAGATCGAATCAAACGAAATAAAATTAATTGATCAATCCAAACAAAAGAAGCAGTGAAATGAATTGAACAATTTAGAAACAAGCAGATAAAGAAAGATAAATAAAAATTACTTAAGTACATGAAGAATCAGAATCTAAAACAGACGGGTATAAGTGAAAAGAAGTAAACGATCAAAATCAATTAATCTATATCATAAAAGAACAAAAGTATACATGATGAAAGCCAAGTTAGTTAGAATAAGAAGAACATTGACATGAGAAAAGAATAAACAAGTAAAATGAAACTTACATCATGAAATCAGATTGATCAAGTTTGAAGAAGATCGATAGAAGTTTCTTTTGTGATTGAAGGTACCCTAAAAAACAAAATGAAAGAAAGTGAATAGCAAATGTCATACGATGTCATTAGTTTGAAAGATAAGGAAAGAAGAAGAACTTACATAACAAACACTCAAAATCGAAATCTAATCAGGAAAGTCAAGAAGAAGTGGAGAAGAATTTATTCGAGTAGAGAGATTAGTTGAAGAGTTTTGTAGTGAGCTGGTGAAATGAACATTGAGATCAGAATCAGTTGGATGAAGATTTTAAACAAATGAACCATTGATTGTCACTGAAATCGATATCAATCTAAGATTAATTAATGAAAAGATTGAAGAAGATGAATCAATCTATGTACAAAGAAAGAAAGAAAATGGATCAGTAGAAGAACAAACAATCAATCAATGAAATGATACTTACTTACATAAAAGATTAAGATCAAAAATTGAATAAGAGATAGTGGAGAAAGAACTCACCCTGAATGAAAACCAAAGTCCGATTGGAATCAGAAGGAGGAGACGATCTTGAAACTGAGGGAGGGAATCATCTTTCAATCATCTAAGAATTGATTGTTGAATCGTGTCTGTTTGGGGGGGTGAAGTGTGGGTCTTTTCTTTTTTGTGATCCATCGAACGGATCATTGTGTTTTTTGTGTTTTTTGTGTATAAGTGGTGATCTAAGAGTGTTCTAAGTGTCTTGAACTTTTTTTTGAAAGTGTCCTAGTGGTCGTATCTGAGTTTTCGTGTTCAAGTGTTTGAGGGTCTGCTATCAGTTAGATTGAGATTAGTTTCTTCGTTTGAAGCGATCTATCAAAGCGTTAAACAAAGAAAGAAGCACATATTAGTTGTCATTTAAAGTGTTTTCGTGTGTCTGATTGAAATCAAGGTTGCTAGGATTTTTTTATTGGAAGAAAGAAAAGAAAGATATATAAAGAGAACATACCTCCATTGTTGATTGGTTTATTGTTCCATCAGAAGGATGATAAGGAGCCAATGGATCCCGCTATGAGGTGCTACAGGGCGCTTGATGGTGCCCTGTCGCTAAGCGCTCGGGGTCGCTATGGCGGGTGATAGCACAGCGGAAAAACACTATGCCAGGCGGATCTCAATACCGCTATAAATCGTCCGGTTTCACCATAGCTATAGCAATGCGTGAAACCCGCTATATAGAAAAGGGGCTAGCGCGGGCGGGACGCGCGCTTCGCTACCGCTCCGCTCGCGCTATCTCGGGCGGAGCGCCGGCGGTGTTGGTATGGGGGGTATATCAAAGTATAGCGATGAAGAGTGGAGGGAAATTAGTCCTGAGGTTCGTTGATGTTGGTTGGATGGGGTTCTTCCAAGATCCTTGCCCAGACCCATTGGTTGGCGAATCGCCAAGTTTTGTTGCAGAATGTGGCGATCGCCTTGAAGGCGCTCGGTGTTGATAGGAGGCGTTTGTCCATCCTAAAGGTTTTTTGCTCCTTGAAGCCTTGGTCTTCGATGCCACGCTCAAAAGCGGCTCGTGCCTGTGCGTGGTTTTGACACACAAAAAGAAAATGGTCAACATTTTTGACACCTTCTTGGCATCTGCAAGAAGGGTCGCCCAATTGTTGGAAGCGGTGGAGATAGGAGTTCAATGGAACATGTCCTGAGCGTAGCTGAGTGAGGGTGGCCACTTCATGGTTCTTGAGAACGCTTATGCCGTCGAGGTGCTTGCGTCCGTTTGGCGTGTGACCGAGTCTTTTGATGTCGGACTCGCTGAAAGCCCCGGTTTCTGATGCTCGCCACTCTTTGATGGCCGAGAGGAAAGCCGCAGTGTTAGGTGTGTTCGTGAAGGTGCTCGGCAAGTCTCTCTTGGCGAGAGAGTTGGCGATTTTGTCGACCGTCTCATTGCCAGGGATGCCCTTGTGTCCAGGGCACCACCGGATAACCACCCGAAGACGGGGGTGGCTTTGAAGTATGCATCGTAGGTGTTTGAAGGTTCTGTGTCGATTGTCCAGTGACGAGACGGATGATGAATTTGATTTGAGATCCTTGACGACCCCCTGATTGTCTAGGACAATGGAGGCACAGTGAGTTTCTTCTGTTGCGTGTTCAAGTACTAGTTTTAGGCCTAGCTGAACGCCTTGGTACTCAGCTTGGTATATGCCTTGGGACCGTGCTGGTCCGAGTTGCTTTGAGGTGCTTCTCCTGGTGTTCGCACACCAGGCCGCGGCCGCCGTGTTCTTGCTGGGAATGCGGGAGCCATCGGTGAAGACGACAAGGTGGTGGTTAGACGCCTTCAGACGTAACGTGTCGGAGATCGCGCGTTTTTCGTCGTCTTGAAGGACTGTTGAGTAGTTTGGAGGGCGGATTAATGAAGAGGCTGGGTCGACCGGGAGCTGGACCGCATGTTCTTCAAAATGCTTGTAGAGCGGGTGTTGGAAGAAAAGATGGAACGGGTTCCTGTGGCTTTTGGGAATAGAAAGCTGAGCCTTTTGGATGATCTGGAACAAAGGGTGAGCCTTGTTTTTTGTCATAGATCTGGCCATAAAATTCAAGACTTTACTCTGATGTCGGATTCCCGGTGGGGTGAGGTTCATGTCGTGACGAAGAAAGATGGTCGGGGTGGATTTCAGAGCACCTAGTGCTGCTCGAGCACATGTATTGTCAATGATCGACATTAGGGACTGGGCGACGCTCTGAAAAGTTGCAATTCAACGGTAGTTGAAATATTCTTCTCAGCAGTTCAGCCGCTGTTCAGTCAATATCAAATTTCCCAATTTTTATTAGTCAACTTTTTGGCACTAAAAAAAATAGGGTGGCGCACAGTGGCATCCAACCATCTGATGAGCTCTCTGTTCAAAATTTCCTCCCCTGCCCAGCCAAAAGCCCCTGGCAAACGCTTCGGGATAGCCTCCCAGATAGGCTTATATACCTTTCACAGACTGACCTGTGGCACCGGGGAATCCCGTGGGTGTGCCCACCGGGGAGCCGGATCAGGATGTGTTCCTTTGGCTCTTGGTCCTCATCCGGCACAACTCGTTTGGTTTACGATGGATGTCTCCTTCCTCTTGATCCCGCTTGGCTTCTGCATCAGCCACACACAGGCCCATGCGTGTGGGCATCCTCTTAGGTGAGCCTTTCTGTTTGGTCTCTCTAGGTTGTGACTGCCAAACTAATGTTTTTTCGGGTATAAGACAGGCCAGCTTGAGACCGAGGATGGATGTCTTCCAAGTTAACCACCGTCCTTTTTTTCAGATAAGGCCTTGACTCAATTTTATATTGGATACCTTATCTTATTTTTGATTTAATACAAGTTAACTTCTTATTTGATCACTCAAAGTATCTTTTTCTTTCAATATTTCATAATGAATCACCAAGAATCGAGATGCAA